TCTGCCCTTGTATCTTTTCCCCTTTGTAGGAATTCTGGGTCATGAACACCTCAATCCAGAGCACAATCATTCTCCTTATTGAAACAAATTGTGGTAGCTCTTGGGGGTGAGTTTAAAAGCTCTACCTGCCCCAAGCTGATCCGCACATGCTGCGTGTCTTCATGCAGGACAACAGCCAGGCCCGCATCGTCTCCATCAAGGTGAGCAGCCTGGGATCCTCTAGGGAGGTTTCCAGCTTCCTCGAAGTCCCTAGATGATCAGTTAAGAAGTGAGACCTTGTTCTGAGTGACAAGTTGATATCTGCTCCACAAGACCAAACCCCAGGATACAGATACTTGATGCCTGCAGTTGAAAGTCCTCTTGAGTTCTCCTTTGATGGCTTATTCTTGGTAAATGCTTTATTCAAGGCTGGTTTTCTCTTTTATCCAGCAACTGATTCCAAGGAATCAGCTGAAATAAGCAGAGAAAAAGTATATGTCACCTAGTGAAATAAGGGGAAAATGGGCCAACAGAGAATGTAGTTCAAAGCCTCTCAGTAAAGACTTTTCAGAGTCCTCACAGAACTTTGAATTATACTTGCCATTGCCTCTGTCCATGTCCTGTGCTACTTTTGTTTGTTTGGTGGTACTGGGGATTAAATGCAGTGCCTCATGCTTGCTAAGCAAGTGCTCTACCAACTGAGCTACATCCCAGTCCTTTTTGGTTTAATTTAATCTTCAGATAGGGTCTCACCCTTTTGCTCCAGCTTACCTCAGACTGCGATACTCCTATCTCTGCCTCCCCAGTAACTGAGATTACAAGCATAAACCACCATGCCCAGCCCCTGGGCTACTTTTCATTGCTGTGTTCTTGCTCCTTTTTACAGCTGTTGGCGGCAATCCAGTTGTTTGGCGCCAACCTGGATGACTATCTGCATTTGTTGTTGCCTCCTATTGTGAAGCTTTTTGATGCCCCTGAAGTTCCACTGCCATCTCGAAAGTAAGCACCCTGACCTTGGGGACCAGCAATCATTAAGCTTTTAGTATTTTGTTGAAAATTTTCTTAAGTTTCCAAGCCATCTTTTTATTTCAACAGCCATTATTTTAGTCTGGAAGTGTCCCCATCAGATTTATGGAAATGTTAATTGTCTCCACCCCACTGGAGTATATACGTTATGATCTGTGTCACCTATGATATCTCCGAAGCCATTCCTTGCCATTCCCTCAGTGCGGATTGTTAAGTAGCCCTCAGTTTGTGATTGTTGCAGGGCAGCACTGGAGACAGTGGACCGCCTGACAGAGTCTCTGGACTTCACTGACTATGCCTCCCGGATCATTCACCCAATTGTTCGGACACTGGACCAGAGCCCAGAACTGCGCTCCACAGCCATGGACACACTGTCTTCCCTTGTCTTTCAACTGGGAAAGAAGGTAAAATAGGAGTCCTAAGCAAATGTCTTGCTTGGGGAGACAAGCTGACACTTAAAAATCTAAATACAGTAACAACCAGTCCGGAGAGTAAGCTGTGGACAGAAGGACTAGGAGCTACACAGGGTGAAGCAGGCAGGAAAAGCTCACAGCACAGCCAGGAAGTATCACCTCAGGAGTGACAGGAGTGCTTAGAGCTAAGGTTGTAGAGAAAAGGCAGGTTAGGGTAAGGTACAGACTAGATCTTGTAGGCCAGAGGGTCCCAAAATGTGATCTGGGACAAACATCATCAGCATATCTGCATGCCTGGGAACTTCTTAGAAATGCAGAATCTGGCCAACTGCAGAGCCCAGCAGTCTCTGGGTGCTCTGATGCCCACTGTGGTGGGCTATCTACTGTAGGTACATTAGCTTTTACTCTGAGCAAGACTAAATGTCTTTGGGGGATTTTGAACACAGGAAAAATGTGGTTGTCTTAATGTTTTTAAATAATTACTCTCAATGCTGCATGGGAGAATAGGCCATAGTGACAAAAAAGAGAAGTAGAGAGGCCACTGCAAGAAGCCAGATGGAAGGCGATGGGGACTTGGACTGGGATTATAGTTGCAGTGGTAAAAAGGGATTCTTGAAGATTCCACAGAGCTAATCAAACATCCAGAAGAAATAGCAATGCTGTAGTTGTGGTGATATTCTTTTCTCTGCTTTCCACTCTCCAAAGTAATGGTCTTTCCCCTTCTCCTTGTAGTACCAAATTTTCATCCCAATGGTGAATAAAGTCCTGGTGCGACACCGGATCAACCATCAGCGCTATGATGTTCTCATCTGCAGAATTGTCAAGGTGAGTACTCTTCCTTCTGCTTTGAAGCCCCCATTGTCTTTCCTCCTTGGTGTTCTTGTCCTTTAGCTAAAGAATATGTCTTTTTATATGTGAACTAGAATTGGCAGACTTTTTCAAAGAAGAGAGTTTTTTTTTCAGTGCTGTGAGTTGTGTGGTTTCTTGGCTCTGCTATTGTACCCTGAAAGGGGCCATATATAGCAAGTGAGCAAATGAGGCTGGCTTCATGCCAGTACAACCTTATTTGTGGACATCGAAATTTGAGTCTCTTATAATCTTTATGTATTGAAAAATATTAATCTTTTGGTTTTATTTTTTCAACTACTTTATGTTGTAAAAAACACTCTGTTCTTGGGCTATATAAAAGTAGACAGCAGGCTGTATGCCACCTTTGCTTTAAATACTTAATCACTTTTGTCCTTACTCAAGTTACATCTTTGCCATTTGCATGGTTACATGTATACTACAAAGTAAGTGCTTGTCAGTAACAAGGAGTGACCAACAAAGACTGATCTACTATGGAGAATTCAGCCCACTTGTGGTTTATTTTGTGCATATGTGCAACTTTTTTACTCCTTTTTGAAATCTTGGCCCTTTCAGGTCTGAATCTCCCAAGATTAATTTATGTATGTTTTATAAACCAGGAGCATCTAGTGAAATTGCAGGTATTTTCTGTAAGTCTCTGCTTGCAGGGATACACCCTTGCTGATGAAGAAGAGGACCCTTTGATTTACCAGCATCGAATGCTGAGGAGTGGCCAAGGGGATGCATTGGCTAGTGGACCAGTAGAAACAGGACCCATGAAGAAACTGCACGTCAGCACTATCAACCTCCAAAAGGCACGTCCATGGTTTCCAGAAGACTTGGCAAGCAGAACTGTGTTCTTTTGTCTCATTCAAAACTCTTCAGCTCTTGCTACCCTAAGTTTAAACCAACCAGAAACCAGCCCAAATATTTTTCTGGAAGTCTAGATACCATGAACTTAGGCCATTTTGTCTTTCTCCAGATGTCTAGCTTGTAATTTTTTTTTTCTTAAGTAGAGAACAGTGTGTCCTTTCATGTTCCCTTGGAACTTGGAGCTTCAATAGTAGGGCCTTTCATTGCAAATAACATAGTCCTTTTCTATGTGAACAGAACAAAGCTGGTGAGTTCCCTCACTAAGCACTGATGCAGGTCAAGCAGTGCTTTTTTTTTTTTTTTTTTTGTGGAACTCTGCCTCACGCTTGCTAGGCAATCGCTGTATTGCTTCAGCCACTCCACTAGCCCTCAAGCAGTGCTTTTCAAGCTTCTCGTTCTCATTAGGCTTACCAGTTGTAGGTGCTCTTATTAAAATGCTTACTCTAATGCAGGTGGTCTGAGGTCAAATCTGATGTTCTGCATTTCTAACAGACTCCCATGTAATGTGATGCTGCTGGTCCATGGGCCACACTTTGAGTAGCCAGGTTTTAGGTCTTTGCAATTAAGTACTGAATTGTCTCTGATGACCAAGGCCTGGGATGTAACTAGCTTTTCACAATGTATGCCAACAAGCTACCCACCTAAAAACAGGCAGTTTCAAAGTTCTTTAGTGAATCTAAGCAGAATAATTAGTTATTTCAGCAACTTTTAAAAATTCTAGGTAGTTCATTTTCCACATTTTATATTAGCCTTCAGTACCCCTGGAGACTGTAAGCAGCTTCCACTTTGTATTTCAAACTGGTGTTACACTTTATGAGTAGCCACAGAGAGAAGTAAAGAATTGGGCAGGCCTGTGTCCCAGCTAATTCAGTTTTTTTTTTTGGCCAAGCCTATAAAGATTTGAACATGGTTTTGTGTGTGTGTGTGTGTGTGTGTGCACCCATAACCAGCTTTAGAGCACTGAGGGCTTATAAGTGACTTTACCCCCATGGACAGTGTCAGGTGACCCTGCTAAGAAATGCTTACTGATACAAGCTGGGTGTAGATATGGAAGTTCATGCCTGTAATCCCAGTTACTCAGGAAGTGGACACTGGAGGATATAAATTTAAGGCCAGTCCAGGCAAAGTTAGTGAGACCCTATCTAAAAAAAAAGTGGGAGGGAGGATGAAAGAGAGCACTGGAGAGGGTGAATTCAAATATGATATATTTGATACATTGTAAGAACCTTTGTAAATACTACAGTGTACCCCCACCCAGCACAACAATAATAATAAAAAAAAGTGTGGCTCAAGTGGTAGAGCACTTGCCTAGAAGCTCAAGGGTCTGGGTTCAAATCCCAGTACTATAAAAAGAAAAGAGATGCTTGCTGGTTTAAGATGGAAGTGGTGGAATGTCCCTGATCAGGAGGAATGTTTCCTAACTGCCGGTCTGCGGCTTCAGCAGAAGCAAGGTCATCAGTCACGCTGTATTCCCACACAGTTATTGAGGCTGCTGCCAGCACCTCACTCTTGGAGCAGAGATGTTTCCAGCCTGCCCAGGTTCAGAGTGTCCTTCCAGGCAGCTGTTCACCCTGCTTTAAAACTTTGTTCTGTTTTTTTTTTTGTCTTTTCTTTTAGGTGCTGGGATCGAACCCAGGGCCTCACGCATGCTAGGCAAGCGCTGTACCACCAAGCTACATCCCAGCCCTTGTTCTCTCTGTTTTAAGAAATTCTCCCAGAAGTCCTGTTTGCTCCCAGGAAATTTTTCTTTCTACCCAGGACTTTGAAAATAAGTATGAACTTTGCCATCAAAGACCAAAGGAATCTCTAGTTTTTACCTGTGAGAACATTTTATTGAATATAAATTGTGTTTCCACATGATTATGTAATGATAATTAGGGATTGGTATACTTAACACTTTTTGTTTTTTAAGTCTTCAGTATTCTTTATTTTTAACTTTTTTGTTGTACTGGAGATTGAACCCACAACCCTGTGTGTGGTAGGCAAGCATTCTACTGAGCTACATCTCCAGGCCCTCTAATCTCTATATTTTTCTTTTTGGAAGAGGGAATGGGTATGGGTCTCACTGTGTTGCCCAGGACAGTCTAGAACTCTTGGGTTCTCAGCCTCTCAAGTAAGTAGAACTATTGGCATGTCCCATTGTGCCTGGGTTAATTTTTTTTTTTTTTTTTTTGAGAGAGAGGATCTCACTGTATTTCCCTGGCTGGCCTAGAACACATGGTCCTCCTTCCTCAGTATCCCAAGTAGCTGGGATTCCAGCTATGTATCATATTTGATCAGCTTTCAAAATAACAATTTGGGGTACTAGTGGAGTGGCTCAAGTGGTAGGGTGTCTGCCTAACAACTGTGAGGCCCTGAGTTTAAGCCCCAGTACTGCAAAAAAAAAAAAAAAAAATTTAAATAATAATTTGGAAGCTGGTAGTATAGACAGCTTGTCTAGCATGCATGAGGCCCAGAGTTCTATCACCAGCACTGCAGAAAGTACTAATCATTTCCATGTCAGTCATTGTTGTATTGTCTATACTAACACAGGATTTATGTGATAATAGAAAACATAAACCTCAATTGTATATACCTCTAAGCATGCCTTTAAGATTTTCAGCAGATTTTTTGTTTTAAGACAATCTGTCTGGCTCTTCTTTCCAATGAATAAACTGGCGTGCTGTGAACAAAGACCAGTGTCACCAAATGAGACAGTCTGTGCAAGTGGACAGCAAAAGAAAGAGGCTGGTATTCACAAAGTTATTGTGGACTCCAGAGAATTGAGGTGTGACTATGTTAAAGAGCAGGGGGGAAGTGGCCTGTTTGTGCAGTTCCCCATTAAGCTGACTTCAGAAGACCTCTTGACTGCCGTTTGTCAAACAATAGCAGCAATAGTAATGATAGCAATAGCAACAACCACTGGCATTTGCTAACTGCTTTCCCATGTCAGGTACTGTTGTGAAGACTTTTATTTATTGAATTTTATTTTTTGGTGGCAGTGGAGTTTACCTCGGCCTCATACTTGCTAGGCAAGCATTCTACCTCTTGAGCCACTCTGACAGCCCTTATTTTATATTTTTGAGACAGGGTCTCACTATGTAGCCTAGGCTGACCTCAAACCTCAATCCTCCTGCCTCAGCCTCCTGAGTGCTGGGATTACAGGTCTGTGCCACCACATCCAGTTTTGTTGTGAGCATGTTTGTGTCTTTAATCATTTACTCTTTTACTCTTCATAATAACCTCATCTGTTAGGTGTTATCATTGCTGTCCCTATTTTATAGGTATGAACTTTGAGGCACTGAAAGATTAAGATGCCCAGTTTATTAACTAGTAAATGGTAGAGCCAGGATTTAACCTAGGTAGTATGAATCCAGAACCTATTCTCTTAACCACTGTGCTGAATTGTCTTTGCCTTACCCAGGTCCAACCTTGCATCATTTGAGGGAGAAAGAAATTAGTAACATTTCCTTGTTTGTATCCAACTTTTAAAGTACTATCCAATACAATGTAGCTATGCGCAGACCCATTTGTGGGCAAGAGGCCAGATTCTGTAGATAGAAAAGGATTTGATAACTCTTATTTCACCCAGTAGAACAAGGTCTAAAAGTCAAGTCTTTTTTGTAACTAGTCTCTTCCTTCTCATTCACTGTTTTAAAAATTATCAGTAGTAACTTTTTAGTTTGTTTCTTGTAATACCTCTACTTGGGTTCCAACATAGAATACTAGTATAGGTAATTTCACCTGGTAAGTCCTCAGAACAGCAACAGACCTCCAGTTTATAACAGAGAGAAGGTCAGTTCATCCAGTGGTAGATGGTGTAGCATATGGGGGGTCCTTTAACTCTGTGAAGCACTCTGCTGGTCTGAAATGTGATGACTGCTCTAACATACACGATTTCCCCGGTTTAGCGGGTGTTTACATGTCTGTTCTGCTGTAGAAGTCTTTTAAGAAGTCAGGGATCTGGTAGTTAGAGCTAGGCCAGTTCAAGTAAATGTCTTTTTGATAAAAGAAATGACTTTTGACTTACATCTTTGGGCTGTGCCCTCTGGATAACATTGTCCTTAGATAAAGAAGTCTTAGGCTCAGTGTGATAGCTGTGAATGGCAGGACCAGGATCCAAACAGGCATTTCTAATCTCCCAGAGGTAGGTGCTCATGCACAATGCTAACATTGTGCCAAACATGTCACTGTAACAGTGCATAATTCACTACACTAACAAATCAATTCCTAAGACACCCTTTGAAGGAGAAGCTGTTATCCTCATTTTTCAGATGAGGAAGCTGAGGCACAGATGTGTTAAGTAACTTGTTGAAGTTCAGAGAGCCAGTAAGTTACGTAACTGGGATTTGAATCAAGCCATCGAGCTCCATAGTGTGGCTTTGGCCACTGTGCTAGACTGTCCATCTCCAGAACCCTGTCTTTCCATCTACCTGCCTAAGCTGCCTAGTAGTAGTTCTCTTTGTGGTGCTGGTGATGGAGTCCAGGGTCTCACATGTGCTCTGCAAGTGCTGTACTACCGGACCACACTTCTAGCCTTGTAGTGGTACTCTTGATGGGTAAGAATTCAGAGTTTTGAGGAAAGTTAGGATAAATTAGAGAGCAGAAATTAAATCTGTTCAACTCTTTTTTGTTCCCCCACAATGCCATGGCTTTGAGCTCACTACTCACTTGGTTTGTAGCTTGATTCATGATGGTGTGAACTTAACCATTTTCTCTCTGTGTGGTACCTGTGTGGTACTCTGCTGTCAGAGGATCTGGGGCCTTAGCCTAATACAGAGTACCCAGCTCCCTTCATGCACTACAGGAGGCCCATTAGACTTGGTTGAATGCCCTCTGAGTGTGACATCCATTCTGGTTCTGTAGAGTTCTCTGCTTTGCTGATGGCTAAGTCCAGCACAAGTGAGTTGTAAAACAGGTCTTTTCTATACTGTGGTTTGTTCCACAAGTTGGAGCTTTTACTTTATGTCTTTTAATTAAATATTACTCTTTTGTATTTGTGGTCTGGAGGAATTTTAGCAAGAGGTATAATTTTACAAACCAAAGTAGAGTAATCATTAAATAGATGATAGCTCTTTGTAGTCAGCTCTTAAAGTTAATGGTTTCCCATTGTCACCTGTGGGATCACAGGCCTGGGGAGCTGCCAGGAGGGTCTCCAAAGATGACTGGCTGGAATGGCTGAGACGGTTGAGCCTGGAGCTGCTGAAGGACTCCTCATCACCTTCCCTGCGTTCATGCTGGGCTCTAGCACAGGCATACAATCCAATGGCCAGGTATGGCATGTCAGGGCTCCCTTCAGCCCAGCTTCCTTTCCCTTGTTTCCAGATTTTTCTGCAGTGGACATTTATTGTTTATAATGTAGCATTAAATGGTGACTTTGTTAAAAAGCAACACTTCCCATTAGTAAGAAGCAAAAGGAATGCATTTCATTTCACTTTAGTCAGCATAGCAGCTTTGCAGGAGTAGAGTTCTGTGATGTCCCTATTTCCACAGTGTGAAGATTGCATACGCTCAGGTATTGTACTGTACCTCTCTTCTGCTCAAGTCACCACTGAGCACAGTAGCATCCCAAAGAGTATTTACTACAGGTAAATACACACGTTTGTGTTTATTCACTTAATCCCAAATCTGTTCATTTGGGATCCAGTGTGGCCTTTGACCTAGATCAAGAAAGCGTTTTGTTTCTGTTTCTGGTTTTGGTTTTTGATACTAGGGATTGAACTCAGTACCTTGTGCTTGCTAGGCAGATGTTCTACCACTTGAGCCACACCTCCAGTCCAAGACAGCCATCCAGTATAGGCATATCCTATAGTTTACAACTCCTCTCCCCCCACATTTACCAAAAAAGTAGAGGCTAGGATTAAAGTTAAATGTTAGAGATGGCAAATATGTGCATCCATTTGGTGCTATGTGATTTCAAGTAGTTGTAGTCATCTTAGAAATGTCAACTCTTCCCAGTGTTTTTAAAGCCCCAGCTGTTAGAGATTGGCTTAGAGAACTTTTTAAGACTTTGTATGTGAATTCTCTTTCCTAATACTTCTGGTTTAAGTTCTGTTGTCACTTTTTAATAGACATCCAAGTAAGGGTTTTGGCTGTGTTTAGAAAACAATAGCAGGGCTAAAGGCATGGCTTTAGAGAGACAAGGTCCTATGCTGCCAATAATAATGATGATGAAGCAGAGAATAATTTTTAAAAAATAGCAGATGGTGCCATTTATTTATTTATTTGTTGTTTGTTTGTTTTTGCAGTTCTGGGGTTCGAACTAAGGGCTTTGTGCTTGCTAGGCAGGCACTCTACCAGTTGAGCCACTCTGTCAGCCCTCCTTTCCATTTCTAATCTTAGGAATTTGGACATTGCCCAAGAAACATTCCCTAGAATCATTTAAAGATTATTATTTTCTGAATCTATTAATGCCAACTTCTGTGTTAGAAGTCTTCTTCCAGCTAAGCACAGTAGCTCAAACCTGTAATCCTAGCTGCTTGGGTGCAGAGACTGGGTGGATCATGTTTGAGACCAGCCCTGGAAAAAAGTTCAAGAGACCCCATCTCAGCCAGTGGTTGGGCTTGATGGTGGGTGCCTGTCATTATAGCTACATGGGGAAACACAAATAGGAGGATCTTGCTTGGGCATAAAGTAAGACCCTATCTCAAAAATAACCAATGCAAAAAGAGCTGGGGGGTGTGGCTCAAGTGGTAGAGCACCTGCCTAGCAAGTGCGAGGCCCTGAGTTCAAACCCTAGTACTGCCAAAAAAAAGTCTCCTTCCTGTTCATACCATCCAAGTAATATGCCTACGATGGCAAGTTACTTTTCTGTGTTCTTCTGTCCATCCCACTCTCTCACAGTTCTGTCTGTGTCATAGTGTCTATACTTGTACTTTAAGATATGGTAGCCACTAGCCACGTGTGGTTATTTTAATAAAATTTAAATTTTACTTCTTCAGTTATATTTGCCACAATTCAAGAATTTAATGACAATGGCTACCATATATTGTTCAGGGATGATTTAGATCATTTCCAGCAAGTTATTTGACAATATTATTGTCACTATTTGGAAGATTGATTATGCAACTTTGTGGCACTAGGCAGAGAGGCATGGGAGGGTGTTTGAACATCTTCTTCACTCCCCTATGCCCTCAGGGATCTTTTCAATGCTGCATTTGTGTCCTGTTGGTCTGAGCTGAATGAAGACCAGCAGGATGAGCTCATCAGAAGTATTGAGTTGGCCCTCACTTCTCAAGACATCGCTGAAGTCACACAAACTCTCTTAAACTTGGCCGAATTCATGGAACACAGTGACAAGGTGAGCCATTCCTCCATTGTCCAGGTGGAGGATGATAAGGAACCAGCTGGTGGGAAGGAAGAAGCATCCATGCAGCCCACTCTTGTTTGTTCCCCATCTGCTGTTTTCCTCTAGGGCCCCCTGCCACTGAGAGATGACAATGGCATTGTTCTACTGGGTGAGAGAGCTGCCAAGTGCCGAGCTTATGCCAAAGCATTACACTACAAAGAACTGGAGTTCCAGAAAGGTCCCACCCCTGCCATACTCGAGTCCCTCATCAGGTAGGCCACACACTTTTTATGCTGCTTCATTCAAAATGACCTTTTTTCTCCCAGTACCTAATGCCAGTTCATTGGAGTTACTTGGAGATTTCTGCTTGGTGAAATCTGCCACATAATCTGGCCAGCATGCTTAAATAACATGTTGTTGCAGATGGACTCTCCCCAGTATTCTCGTCATGATTAGCATATCTTCTGACCCTTTCCACCTGGGCTCCCATTGTTCTCCAACCTGTGCTTTCTCTTCCCAGTGAACTTAATCCAAAAGCAATTCTATGGCCACAGTAGCCTAAGAAAAACAGATTTGGTGTCTGAGTTAGATAGCACTTTGTGGCAGGATTGGGATGTACTGACTGGGCTTTAAAGGCAACCCAAAATCAGCGTGAGGTTTTAGTGACTTAATCTAGTCATCCTCTCTTGGAATTCTATGTATATAAATACAGCAGGGCTGGAAGTGCCATTGAGTTCCACAAAACTCCAGTTCCGCCATAAAAAGCAAAGCAGAGTCTGAGATCTGATGGTCTTTTCCTCAATTTGACTATATTCTCTCCTCTCTCAAGATAGGTTTGAGTCTTCTGAGCATGGAAAAAAGAGGTTGTTTAAGTGCTATCATGAAATTACAAGCAGCTAGAAACATGAGCTTCTGCTCCTGGAGAACTACTCACTTCCCCTGATGATTATCAGAGAATATTAACACTGGAATCTGATTATCTTCATGGAAATACTAACATGGTTGATCATTTCACTAAGACAGTTTAGGGAATATCAGTGCCTAATAAGTTCCTCTGTTGGCTAATAGAGCCTGCTGTGCATGGTACTTCCTTCATTTGAGTGGATAATCAAATTAGCTGAGTTCGCTGCCTTTGAGCAGGTGCTGAAAAGTGTTCCTTTAAGCATTTCATCAAATGACCCAAAAGGTAGAAATGTTAATCGGATTTCTGTCCAAAGACCTTGGCTTGGAGAATGTTGATGTGTGAAATATCATATAGGCCATTTCATGAAGAATGCTTCATCATCAAATTAATGCAGTGAACGTGAAGGCCCTCAGCTTTTCCTCCCATCTCTAGCCTGCTAATGCAATCTAATGTGATAACTGATAGAAAATATGGTAATTGGGTATGTTAACTTCAATATCAGATAACCAGTTTTGACCAATAACGTCCTTGCTGACTTTTTCCTATTTGAGATCTGTGTGTAACCTCCCCATCCCACCCTTGGTTTTTCCTCTTATTTGAGACAAGAATAGAAGCAATTTTTAGTAGAAGAATATAGTCAGAGGTCTGGAAAAATGCGCAAGAAAGTCATTTAGCTTTTTAAGCAATGTAATTGAAAATAAGTCCTCAGAATCCCCTGCAAATTAATCTTAGCTTTTTTTTTTTTTTTTTTTCAATGCTGTTCTTAGGACTAGCCAGTTTCCTCAGCTCCTCGGGCCCATTCAGCTGGTTCAACTTGGCTTAGGGTTCTTACCCCATTGAATTGATCTCCTGAATCTCCCTAGTACCTTTCTTTTATGCTTCCATTTGTAGTGTTCACTTCTGATGTTGTAAAACTGCTTTTCCTAAGCACCATTGTGGTGGTATGCTGTCATCTTTACCGGAGAATGTTTTAAGAAACAACTTTAGGCCAGGTGCCAGTAGCTTATACCTGTAACCCTAGCTACTTGGAGGACAGAGATCAGGAGAATTCAGTTCAAGACCAGTCCAGGCAAATAGTTCTCAAGACTCCATCTCCAAAATAACCAGAGCAAAATGGACTGGACATGTGGCTCAAGCTGTAGAATGCTTTGTAAGCATAAAGCTGAGTTCAAACCTCAGTCCCACCAAAAAAAAAAACCTTAGGCAAAGCTGCTGTTGGGTAAACTGCCCACATACTACCCCTTGTCCTTTCTAGGGAGCTGCCTGGAGTCCCCTTTCCATATCACTGGTTCTATCCTCTTTTAGGTCAAAGACTGTAATTTATATGGGCCAGAGCCACCACTTTGTTCTAGTCTTGGAGATGTGGCTCTTCAGTCAAAGAATTCCTTTTCTTCCAGTGTCTATTGAAGAGTTTGTAGTGAAAATCCTGCTTCCTTTCAACAAATTACAGATATCTGTGCCTGCTTTGACTATTAACACCTGTTCCCCACCATGTTTTTTTTTTTGCAAAAGAGAGGATCTCACTATGTAAGCCCAGGCTGACCTCAAACTTTCTCTACAACTCAAGAGGGTGAGGGGATGAGGTAGGAGGATCAAGAGATCAAAACCAGCCTGGAGTACATAGCAAAACCTGTCTCAAAAAAAAAAAAAAAACACCTCTCTTCTGATAATGTTCTCTTGCTGTTGGTTTAGTCTGTCTTTCTACTTACTTTTTTACCTGTCTGCTCCAGGACAAATTAAATCCCACATGTAATCCCCAAACCAGGCTAACATTGAGACAGTATAATGTATTCCCAGTTCCTCAAAGCTCATGTATATCAGTAAATATAATTGCTTCTTAGGGGAATAGTGGATTAAAAAGGTACCAGATTATTAGGAAACACACACAGATACAGCTGTAGGGCTCTTATTTGACTAGACAGAGCATGAGTGTAGAATTTTCTGGCCTGCCTTTTTTCTACCTGAATGGAATAGAAGATATGATCAAAGCTGGATGCTTTTACTGCCCAGCTCCTGGCATGTAATTCCCTTTTTAAATATTTCCAATTGAAGTAACTGTAAAATTAAAAATGGGCCAGTGCTCACTAAGTGGACATGCCTGTCAGGCCAATTTGTCCCTGTCTCTTGTACAACCCTGTTCTTTTGTGTACCTTCCTCTCACATTTCTTAAAGGATCCGGTCAGAACAAAATGTTCTTTGCCTTTCAGGAGCAACAGCACACTCTGGTTTTGGTGCTGTCCTCTTTTAGATCAGAGATTGTACTAGGCCACATTTTTGGTGTCTATTATCTGCCTATATCAGAACAGGTGCTTGAGAGATGTAGGTGCTGTCAGAATCCATACACTGTGAGAGAAGGGGTAGATAATCGGTGCATTCTATGCCAGTGCTCTCCCTGCACTCTGCCCTTCTCTCTGAGAAGGTAGAGGGTGAAGGAAACCACCCTCTTATAGGGCTTATAGAGGAAATGGAGAGGATCATTAACTACTTCTGCTATGGGCATCTTGCTTTCTTCACTCCTTTTAAGCCCCAGTTCTTTCTGTCCATTTCTCCCAGCAGCATGGTACTCATCCCAGATTATCTTGCCTGCCTGAGAAAGTTTTTGTTTGAATCTCTTTGTCCCATAGAAAGCCCTACTCCAGTGTAGTTACTCACTTTATTTCTTTAAAAATCCCTAAGGTTCTTGTTGTGAAGGTGAAGTAGATTCCCACAATCAACCGTAGGTACAATAGAAAATATTGAGTAAGAGTAATGTCTAACCTTACCTTGACTGGCTCAGGGGAATGGTTCATTTTGGAAAGGAAAAATGACTTCCTCAGGCCAAAATTATGTGACACCCCTTATAGATAAAGATAATTTTCTTCTCTGTATTTTTAAGTAGAAAGTTTGAGTGTTTGTTCACAAAGCATTTTGAAGCCAAACGGTGGCAGTGGCCTCGGATCTGATCCCATTCTAGCTGGCTTTTTTGTCTCCTGTCTCTTCTTTTTTGGCTTCCTACTTTCTTGGTTTCTCTGAATCCTGAGACTTAAATCAGTCTTTTCTAGCTGCTCACTCTCTAATTTTAAGTTGAGCTATTTATCATGCTGTAAGTGGTAACAATAACTTAAAAAAATTCAAATTTGAAAAGTGGTTATTGTAGAAGGAAATGATATTTTGAGTGTTTTAAAGCACAAACTCCCAATATTTATTTTTACAAAGCAAGATGCTTATGTACAGCATTAATTGTTTAACCACAGTGCCATCTACCTTCATTTCTCAGCTATTTCTGACAGATAAATTAAAAGCCCCTCTGGGCCCATTTCATACAAAGTGAATAAAAACAGATGTGTCTGTGATGACTAAAAATGTTCTAAGCCAGTTTTGTGCAAGCATCAAGGGACCATGCCCGCCTCCCCCGGATGCTCCCTGCTACATCATATGATGTTCAATGATGTTCTCTGACCCAGGTGAGCAGGGAAGGTGCCAAGATTCTGACTGCAAGGCCCAGGGCCTTGGACTCTCTCTCCAAGAAAGTCCAACCTGAGACAGCTCATATCCAGCCAACAAATTTTGTGGGTTTTTTAAAATGTAGACTGAAGGTAATGTCATTGAATTTAAAAATAGAAATTGCCCTCCTCTACCACCCACCTTTGTTCCTTTATATAATACTCAAGACCTCTCCTTTAACAATCACAGTAATAGTTGTTAGCAAAGAGATTTGGAGTTGCTCCTCATGTAACCTAAGCCTTAGAGAACATGGATAAAGTGACCTCCGATTTTTTCCCCCACCTATAAAGTATGTGGAAACAACAAGCTGCTGCTCTGTCAGGAATCAGAGGCAGAGAGCCCACTCAGCCCCACCCCCTGAGAGGTCTGTGAGATACGGCAGACCCTCTGGGTTTAAATGCTTCACTCATTTACCTTAACATTCTTGGTACATACAACTTTATTGTGCACATATACTCACTTCAACAGCAAAGATACTGTAATTGTACGAGAGTGACTCATTGGAGATGGTAGGCCAGTCACCATCTCTGCCCTTTCTATACACTCCTCTCATCCCGCCCTGCCTTCCCCAGCTTCCACTTGTCTTGTTTCTGCAGCCCTGCTCCACAGCCACCTTCTTTCAGAATTTGAAAGCTTCTGGGCGAATCTTCATCTCCACCCTCTTCAGGGAGTAGGTGGCTCCATGCCAGCCATACCAGGTGATGCCATCCAGGTGCTTCCTGTGCTCCCCCAAGCGGTAGTACACCCCGTTGAGGTTGGAGTCTGTGCAGCAGTTGTACCAGTATCCACCTGGCATGAAAAACAGATCAGACAGCCTTCCTCAAAATAGACTGACAGCAGAACTTAAGCAGTTAGAGCTTGTAGCAAAGAGAACACCACAGTCAGACTGCCAGCTGTGCAATTGTAAATTCACTCTTTGTCCTCAAGAAGGATTGTGGGCTTAAACCTCAACCTCTCCTTCCTCCTCCCCAAATCCCACCTTTGCGGAGCTGTGCACACTTGTCCAAGCAGTTGTCATTGTCCTTGTCCTTGGTGCTGAAGACCGTGTTGTTATGATAGAGGAGGGCATCCTTCCCCACGTTGCCACTGTAGTTCCCCAGGAGCAGCCGATAGCTGTTCAATTCATTGCTCAGAGCAAAGTGGCTGTACTCTGCATAGCGCGCATTGCCCTCCCAGTCCTGGCGGGTAGGAACACAGCCTTAGAGAAACTGCAGAGGGCTTCATTTCATACCATTCCTGTACCTCCTCTCCTCTCTCTCTCTCTGTCTCTCTCTCACCAGCCCTATGCCAAAAATCTTTTTACAGGTGTGAATCTAGTAAGGCTTTATTACTTGTACCGCCAGCTTACCATACAAGCTAGGAGTTACCAGTAAGAATAAGTCAAACTTCTCACCTTCTGGCCTTGATTGGTCTTTCTGTATCCCTTCACTTCACGTCTTAAGGTGTAGATAGGTGTTTTTTGCTGAGTCCCACTCAAGGATGTCATCAGAACAATGTGAGGATCTAATTAGTGCTTTTAAGACCCTCTAGAGGATCAACCAGTGTCAATAAAACTTACACATAAAGACCTCATACCCCAGGCCTGACAAAGATGATGGTGTTTTATCCCAGAAGACCTTTTTGGGTTTGCTGTGTCTCCCCAACTATTGGGTATGCCTTGTCCTGTGCCAGCTGCAGCCCTACTTTGCTGAGAAATAGAAAAGAAAAAAGCCTTCTTCCTCAACTGTATTGCAACCTGCATGAAAACTGTCACAGTGAATACACAGAACTATAATTAATAGATTAGGAATAGCGCCTCCAGAGTCAGGCATGTGTGCAGTTGACCTAGATCAGTCTTAGGGCCTCAGGACTTGAGCTCACCTCCATCTCCACACGGAGCCGTGTTGGCTGTCTGGTGAGCCGGTGGATATGTTCATTTCCCAGCCAGAAGTCCCCACGGATGCTGCCAAAGCCCTGCTTGTACTGCTTCCAGTCCTGGTAGAAGGAGACAAGGCCACTCTTCCGTCTCTGGATGATGGTCCAACCTCCACCTGAAGTTTCCATATCACAGAACACCTGGAACAGAGGGGAAACTCTAGTTAGGTACTCATAGGGGCAGGTGGCAGGGGCTTGAGATCAGGCTTCTCAACCTTTTTCCTGTCTCTGCAAAGCCAGCAATATGTGTGCTCCCATAGTCACATTGGTTCACTATGGCAGCAATGCTGCCCTTAGTGTTGGGGAGCTAGATTAGGGTGGTGGTGGAATTATTCACTGGTGGCTTAGTAAGAATTATCAACATTGGGGATAGGTGTGTATGTACAGCTTGAAGAGAAAAATCCAGATACTTCTCGTACCTCCTTCATGTTCTTTCTTTTCTTCTCCCCCAAAGAATAGCTGCTGTAGGGCACCACAGATTTGAGTTAGTTATGTGTTAGTTATTACAAATTAGCTAATCTATATTAGAATGTTTCATATTTGGCTGCTAATGACTTAAAGAGCCCAAACAGATGCCTGCTCTCTTGTATTTGATGTTTGCTGCTCTTGAGTTTCCCTTTCTGTAGACCATGACAAGCCATGTTGTCTCCATGCTGCAGACAGTAGAATATGGGCAGGGGCTGTAGTAACCTCACCTCCAGCTCAGGGGTGCCCAGGAATTCATCGGGAGGAAGCTTGTACACTCCAGAGATGCGGTAGTTCTTCTGGTAGAGGGAAGAGCAGTCATAGATGGCATCTGTGAAAGGGGCACAGAGGGTAAGCAGAGACTCAGGCTCCATAGAGGGTAGTCATGCCTGCTGCCTCTGAACTGAATGATTAAACAAGTCTTCATTTCTACCACAGGATGCTCATGGGTAATTCCCAGGTAGTATCCAGGTGGACATCAGGAGATGAAGAGGGGCATGTTTGGGCTTCAGTAGTAGTGGGGCAAAGGGTAGGGGAGCCCTTCACCCAGGTAATGTCAATGAGACTGTCAAACAGGTGGTTTCAGGTTAAATCTGACATAAGTGATCCTGCTGTACTTCTAGGCCATGAATTCTAGAAATGGCATGGTATGTGAGGGCTACTTAACAGATACTTCTGTGAGTAGCTTCAGACTTCTTAGACAACTTCCTCTATCAGAGGATAAGTCGTGAGTATCTCAGAGGTGCTGGTTTGTGTTGTTTCTCGGAGGTAATGGCTACTGGCAACTGGGACCCTAATTAAAGGAGATGGATTTTATATTCATCCCCAGCCTAGTCCAACAGTGCTAGATGCTCAAATGAAAACCAAAACCCTGAGGAGCCCTTGGAGGGCTTCTTCTGAGAATTTTTTTCAAAATAAGGAAATGAGATTTTTCAGTTTTCACTTCTAGCGTTGATTCAGGTACTTCCTTGACCGCCTTTGGGACTACTGGTCTATGCTGGCTTTTGTCTCCTTGTTCTAAATAGTAAAGTGGGTTACAAAAGAAGTAGCTGCTTCTGATAGGAGTCAGAGAGTGGCTTTTACTGTCTAGAGATGCTTTCTGCTCTTCATGTCTTGGGACGTTTTCCTTGGTGATCACTGGGTTGGGGGCTTTGAGAAAAGCACAACTGCCACCATGGGAGTTGTCCAAAGTACCTGAGTTCCCTCATGGAGCATTTTGGGGAGGGGGAACTGGAATATACTTGCTATTACCCTCAGAATTCTATATTTCTTATTTCTGGTGAAAGTCTCAACTTAATGCTTACTTATCCAGTAGGTAGCCCTGCACCTGGTCACAGTTTAGAAAAATAAAGAACTTGTCCTGGGCAAGAAGAATAAGAAGCCTGACAGGAGGGCTTTGTTCCACCCCCAGGAGACTCTTTGCTGGGGAGTGAGAGAGGGCCCTGTTTAAAAGAGCAGGAAGTGGCACAGTCAGATTCCTCTGTCTGGCCTGGCCTTCCATATGTCTAGTTTCATCTCACAGGCCAAATCAGGATTCACTGGTCTGGAAAATGGCCTGAGAATGCCTTTCTAATCCCTAACTGATGTTTTGTGCTGAAAGTCTGTGCTCAGAATGTGATTTGTACACATTGGTTTAGATAACAGAATCTTCAAGCTTAACTTCATATTAAAACTTTTTCATTTGAGCCAAGAGTAATCAGGGGCTTACTCACAGGAAGTTAGTCATGTCTTTCTTCTTTTCTTGGTTATAATGTAACCAAGTTTTTCTGTTAGCAGGAAATGATGTATCTCTAGAATATACTACTTACAACTAACATTTTCTGATAATTTCAGAAAACCACATTTATCTCAAACAGTAAATTCATGTGTGGTCCTGCTCTGAGTTAACCAATTGAAAGTTAGTTTGCAAAATAAAACATTAAGTATACTTTATTTTGACCATTAAAACAATCCTATATTCAGCACTGCATTTACTTACTTCCTGTATTATTTGGGAGTATTTTATTTGAGACTATAAGAAAAAAAAAAAGAAATATATTGAGGACTCTCCAGGAGCCTGTCCTTTCCTCAGCACAAAGGACTTCTTCAAATTACTATGGGCAGTGTCTCTACTCTAATTCTGATTCTGAGCCAGTGAGACAAGTGAGGTTTGCAGAAAGAGAACACAAAATTCTAGTAATGCCCATTCCTGCTAAGTCTGAGGGACAACAGAGGACCGTTTTGGGTAAAACTTTGTGTCCAAAGAAGCAGATGGTATAGTCTGGTGGTTAGTTCTGCTTTGTGGGGTTTGGGGTGCAGTCTGCCAGCTCTTGGTAAGGAAGGAGCATAGCTATACTGACCAGGAAGATAGGAACCCTGCCTACAAGACTTGCTGTTTGACTTTAGGCAAGCCATTTCATTGTTCAATGCTTCAAGGTGGGAATTCATACCTTTTCATTTGCTGACACGTGGCATGATTGACAGAGACCTGTGAGGGCTTTTAGAGTGACTAAGTGGTACCACACCTGCCTAGCAAGCATGAGATCTTGAGTTCAAACACCCCACCTGTGACCATATTGACTAAATTTATATGAACATTAAAATCTGAAAGAACTACCCCATCAGCCTTTGCTGACGGTTGAGCAGGTTACCCAGAAGCAGTGCTGTGGACAGGTAGACCTCAGCCACTTGACTGCGGGCAGTGAGTGGTGTGAGGACACGCTCTCCTTACCTGCTGAGGTCTGTGTGACAGTCTGTGCTGCCTGCAGCTGCATGATGTCAATCTGGTTGTTCATCTCTGAGTAATTGCTCTCGGCATCTGTGAGCCGTGATTCCATGCGCTTGCTGTTGCTCTCCAGCTCCATCACCTGCATGACCACACTGACCCAATCGCTCTCCTGCTTCTTGCTCAGTTCACCCAGCAAACTGCTTAGGTTGGCCACCTGGGCTTTGAGCTCCTTCATCTCCTCACAGCAGGCAGCCATTTTGAGCTGTGCAGGTGTCTTGCGTTTAGGGGGCTTCTGCAGCCACGCTGGGTGACTGACAAAGGCCATGATGAAAATGCTGAGCCAGGTCAGAGCTGAGAGAGTCTTTTTCAGCATCTTTTGTAGGCTTGGGTGAAGAGGATCTTCCTTTGGTGCGTCTGGATTTGCCTAGCAGAGGTCTGCGAAAATGTAGCAAGTCTTAAGCTTTCACTCTGGATGGCCTCACACTTTGTTGTTTTCTTTCTTTCCTTGCTCTTTCTTAACCTTTCTCAAAGTTTGAGTTTCTGAAAGTGGAGCTTAATGGGTGTTCTATCTCTCCTTCACAGGCCCAAATGCTCCACCAAGTCAGCATCTTAAATATTGTTTGTGCCTGCACCTCCACCCTCCATGGCCCTGCATAGGCCTTTAGTCCCTCCCACCTCATCTGGGAAAGTCAGGTGTCTCTTTGGTGAAGTCAGCATAGACTTAGGCCAGAGAAGGGGAGGAGGGAGACAGAGCAAGTCTTTCCTTGCCTTCCCAGTCTGGGCTCAGGAAAGGGGACTGTAAATGTGTGTGTTTCCAGTTTGGCCTATTAGATTGTATCCCTGCCAGCCACTGGCTCAGCTCTATCAGCAGGCAGGCAGGGTCAAAGGAATTTCCAAATTCCATCCTGAAGGTTATATAACCATGGGATGAGTGAAGTAGGTGAAAGAGAGTTGGGAGTAAAACTCTCCTCAGCCAGGGAGGCCTGCTAATACAATCCGTCCTTGTTTACATGAGGCGCTGGTGTATTTTGGCTTCTTGCTGAATGTGCTTTTCTTTCTTTTTCTGCTCATCATTCAGTATTTTACAAAATCATTATGGAACCTGGATCTAACACTACCTTGTTTGAAATTTCCAATCTAGAAAAGTTCTAGAGATAGGAAGATAGAATAATCTCTTAATAAGCAAAAAGAAAAAAAGACTTTGTATCCAGGAAGTTGTCTTTCTTTTTACATATGTTCTCCTTCCAAAAAGAACAGGCCAGTATGAGCTTTTCACACTTGACATTCTACAAGGAGGTGTCAGAAGCTTACAGCAGAGATGAAAATTCAGCCATGCCAGGCATGATTCTGGGATTGGTTACCCACATACTCCTGGCAGTTTCTTGGCAGCACCAAGAACAAGCCTTAGCCCATGGTTCAAAACGAGGAACTTGTATTAAAATACGGAGAAAAGACTCCCTATCCCCTAATATATCCAAATCAAGAATCTCATTTCCCTCTTTCTATGTAGTAGTAATTTGAAATTAATCTCCCTCTACCTTTAGATGACTTTGTATCTGAGAGACAAGGTTATTATAATTTTTTATATACATTATATTTGAAAGGCACTGCTCTTTTGAAAAGATGTAAAAGCATGGAATTTCAGCAAACATCCTTAAAATAAGCACTGATACTGTATATAAAGATCCATCTGTCCTTTGGAACACACAACTGCTGTTTCTGTGTTAGGGAGCCACCAAACCTGTTACTTGACCTTTGATATTCAATGTGTGTCCTCCCCTTGCAAACATGACACCAGGCAACTCTTCATCCTACTGTAGTCCCACAGAACCCTTTTCTTTAGTGCTTCCAGCTCCTCAGAGCCATTGCCTCCCCAGGCTATAATTGCAGCTATGGTGGCTCCATCAGACGTCTGGGTCTGATGGAGGGGTAACCATGGTGGTGGTGGTAGCCACTCCCACCTTCTGTTTCTGCCAACTGAAATGCCAGATTTTTGTTTCTTCTTCCCAATAGCCAGTTCATCCAAACAGCGAAATGTTGTGAATAAGTTTTTATATCTGGGCAGAAAATGAATCATTCATTAATATTTGCAATCCACATAGCAGTCCTTTTCAGGAAAGTTATGAAAGAGGTTTGAAAAGCATCAAGCATGAATGTCTAGCCTTTGACATTTATTTTCTAGAAATTTATTTCTAACATAAGACATAATGTATAGACAGAGCTTTTCTTATTCAAAGATTTTCTTAAATTGCCTGAGCTGACCAAGTGTCAATAAATCTCCCAAATTTTGGAAAAAAAATAATTAAGGGTATTTTCCATGCCAGAATATTATCTGATTTCCAAAACAGTTAGGATGTTCCAAATTCTGAGTTCTTTAAAAAAGGAAGAGTCGGTCCTGTTTTAAGCACAGTTAAGCCCATGGAGGAAGCCAGGAAGAATGGGAGGACTACAGTGGTTTCCTTTCCTGAAGACGTCTCCAATCCCTTCTTCTGCCTGTCAGTGAGCAGTGACCATAAAGATGGGAATTAACTGAGAAAATGTGGAAAAGCTGATAGGAAACCATACAGTTCTTCCTTTCCTCCATTTTGCTGCTGGTGAAAGAAGGTTAAATAGCTTTGTGTTTGTGGGAAAGGTGTTATGAAAAAAGCCAGTGCACTGTCACTTAGCCTGGAAATTCTCAAAGACTTCATGGTACTGAGCCTGCACTGCCTTAGGCTGGCACCAAGGAAGCTGTGGAGCTGCTTGAGGGCTGTGGAGTGGGCAGGGCCTAGGAGTGGCCTTTCCTCTCATCTAAAAAGGATAGTCAGGCCTCCTTTGCTTGACGAGTTCTGCTGAAAAGGCTGTTTCTTTTTGATACATCCTGCTTCTCCCAGCCCTTTAACCCTCACTTTCCAAGGTAAAGAGGGAAGCTATGCCCCAGTGCTCTCACCATGGGCTGAGTACATCTCAGAAATGGCAGCTTGGTTGGTGGTTTAGTTGGGTGCGTCATTTAAATGCTCAGTTTCTTCCAGAATGCTTTAGTGAGTCTCAGCCTGCAACAGCATACATAGCCATTCGATGCAGCCTTTCCATCACCATTCAGGCCTATCTCTGTTTCACCTAAAAGCACAGGTCCTTCACAGAAGCCACTCTGCCTCTTCTCCACGCCTTCTAATAGGCCACCTCTACCAAAGAATGTCCTGGACCTACTGGAAATCATTTCTCTTTCTGGGGGTGTGAATATAACTCAGTAATACTGGACCCTGAGTTCGATCCCTAGCACAAATAAAAGAAAAAAGAAAGCATTTTTCTCAGGCCTACTCTTTTTTTTTTTTGGACAATACTGAAGGTTGAACTCAGGACTTCACGCCTGCTAGGCAGGTATGCTACCACTTTACACTCTACCGCTTGAGTCACTCCACCAGCCCTAGGCCTACTCTTCAGATTCTATCTATCTGTCTTTGATTGTTCTCAGGACTTTGTAGCAAACATCTTTTCTGTTAGCCACCATTCAAGTTGCAGAATATAGCGATATGCTGGCCCAGTCTCAGTTGTCTCAACAGTCTAGTTGGGGAGATAGACAGTTGAACTCCAGGACAGTATGACATGCTAGGATGGGCACACAGAGGAGTGTCCAACACACATGACTTATGGGTGGCCTCCCTAGGGAAGTGTAGTCAGAAAGTACAAAGAAAAAGGATGGAGTAGCCAGAAATGGGGGAGGGTATTCTGAGCACAGAGCAACTGTGTAAAAGGCCTTGCTTAGTAAGAGAAAGTAAGTTGGCAAGTGTGGCCTGAGAATCAAGAAGAGAGGGGTCCAGTGAGAGTTAAAGCAGAAGAGATAAAGGCCAGCCAGGCCCCAGAGATCCCTCATGTCCAAGTGAGGAGCATGACTGTCGCAGTGGAGACAGAGGACCACAGAAGGAATCCAAGAAACTTTGGTCTCTTTTTGCTTTGTTTGCCAGAGTCATCAGCAAAGTGGCCTTTTATGATTACCATACAAGATTTTTAACTGGAAATGGGGGGTTTAGATCAGTGAATTTTTTTTAAAAATGTAATATGTTTATATTAAATGCCCTGGCTTTAGGGTTAAGGAAGGTGGTGCATGAAACACTTAGGTACTTATTTCTAGAATCAGGCCAATTTGGCTCTTAGACCCTCCTAACACTTGATAGCTAGCTATTTAATCATGAACAAAGTATATAACTACTCTTAGGTTTGCCAATCTGTGAAAGAGATAAAAAGGAAAACTAAAAGAAAACTACCTGACCTATAGCTGAGCATATAACTCCATGGTAGAGTGCTTGCCTATCATGTAAGACCCCTGGGTTTAATCCCCTGTGCCAAAAAGAAAACTCTCTTGGGAGGCTGAGGTAGAAGGATCTCGAGTTTGAGGCCAGTCTGGGCTACATAGTGAGACCCTTGTCTCAAAAAAAGTAAAACATAAGACCCAGTCTCGCATGTTAGCACATGCCTGTAATCCCAGCTACTCAGGAGGATCATGGTTCAAGACTAGCCTGGGCAGAAAGCAAGACCTCTATCCCAAGAAATAAGCTGGGCATGGTAATATGCCTCTGTAACCCCAGCTATGCAGAAGGTGTTAGGTAGGAGGATCACAGTCCAGGCCAACCTCAAGCAAAAATGCGAGACCCTATCTGAAAAATAAAGTGAAAAAGGGAGCTGAGGGTGTGGCTCACGTAACAGAGCATCTATCTAACAAGTGTGAGGTATTGGGTTCAAACCCCAGTACTGCCAAAAACAAAAACTATTTCACCTTTCAGGATCCGGTTAAATAAAGCAAAAGGTTAAGTATAATTAAGATATTTTGGGATTTGGCAATTTAAAAAAATAGTTTATATTTTTAATTCACATATTTTCCAGAATATATTATTAACTATAGTCACCATTTTGTTCAGTAAAGCTCTTAAAATTGTTTCTCATAACTGAAATTTTTTATCTTTCAACTAGCATCTCCTCAGTTCCAGCTACTACCTCCCCCAGCTCTCTACATCCATTTCTATAGATCAGTTTTTAAATGACACATTTGAATGAGATCATGCAGTATTTATCTCTGTGTTTGGCATATTTCACTTGACTTAATGTTCTCCAGGTAAAATGTCTTTTAATAAGAAAATTAAATGTGAAAGAATTACACTACTACACACAAGATGTATCATAAAGCTATAGTAAGTAATTGAGGTAGAATTTGACACAAGACTAGATCAGTAGATGAATGGAACAGAATTAAATGTACAGAAACAGACCTACACATATATGGACACTTAATCTATGAAAGGTAGAACACAGAACAGTGAGGAAAGGATCATCTTTGCAGTAAGTGCAAGTAGGCTAGCTAGGTAGTCTTAAGGGGGAGAAGAGGCTTACCTCACGCCACACACAAAGCCTCACATTCAGGAGATTTAAGTTCTGAATGTTCAAGGCAAAACAATAAAGCTTCTCGAAGATGGCATGGAAGATTAAATCATCTTCACATCTTGGAATAAGCAAAGATTTCTTAAACAAGATACCGAAATTACTGACCATAAAGAAAGACAGTAAGCAGTGCAAGAAAAATTGTCATTTCTTTTCAGTAGAAAAGAATGAAAGGGCAAAAAATATTCTCAATGTGTTCTCTTATATGTATTATATCAAGAGTATATAAAGTACTTTTTTTGGTGGTGGTACTGAAATTTGAACTGAGGGCCTCATGCTTGGTAGGCAGGCACTCTACCACTTGAGCCACTCTACCAGCCCTATAAAGAACTCTTGACAAGTAATGGGGGCAGGGAATATAAGCCCAATTAAAAGATGGGCCAAAGATGTGAACAGGCACTGTGTTCACAAAAAGAGGATCTCCAAAAAGCTTATAAAAAGAAAAAAAAAAAAGAAAGTCTGCTCCATCACATTAGTTGTTATGGAAATTCAAATTACAACCATGGTAAGACGCCAGAAGGCCTAAACTGGAAAGACTGAAAATACCACATGTTGACAGAGATGT